GCAGATAATTATGGATTTAGTATATCTGGTATTTATTTAAATTATCTGGTATATCTGAAATATATTTGGCATATCTGTACTTATCTCATAGAATTTTTTAGTTATTATTTAGTAGGATTCTCAGCTGATTTAGCTCAGTTGATTTAGCCGCCTTTTACTTTGATTCCTTGTATATATGATGTACTGATCTTTTTCAAAGAAATATACAGAAATAGTATTCCATTCATAAACTTATCATGGTATCAGAGCATTCTTTCCTACGTTTCTTTCTATAAGTCAAAAATCTATTTTTCATCCCATGTCAGCCACCACAGAAAATGCAACTCCTCTTACAAGCACAACAAACATGGAGGTAGATCCATCGTCTCCCTTTTATCTGCATCATTCCGATGGGCTAGGCACTACACTTGTGACACAACTAATGACAGGGAACAATTATCCCACATGGAGCCGTGCAATTACTATGGCTTTTGAAGCAAAAAACAAACTTGGATTTGTTGATGGAACAATTCCAAAACCAAGTGCTACATCAGCAACATATACTATCTGGAAACGTTGCAATAGCATGGTTCTTTCGTGGCTTCTGAATGCTGTCACCAAGGAGATAGCCAATACTGTGGTCTTTATGAAGACAGCTCGAGCAATTTGGCTTGATTTGAAGGAACGGTACTCACAGCATAATGCCCCACGTGTTTTCGAAATTCAAAGGTCCATTGTGAATCATATGCAGAGAAATGATTCAGTCACAATGTATCACACCACGTTGAAGAGTTTATGGGATGAGTTGTCTATCTACAACACCTATCCTACATGCACTTGTGGGACTATGTCTGAAATCATTCAACTGGAAGAACAGGGGTGCCTAATGCAATTTCTCATGGGACTTAATGAATCTTAAAGCAACTTGAGGAGCCAAATCCTGGTAATGAGTCCTTTACCAACTGTTACAAAAGCACTATCTTTGGTTTTACAGGATGAGAGGTAGCGCTCCATTCAAGTACTTTCTCAACCACCTTACCCAGAGCAGTCTGCCATGGCTGCAAGTAATGTGCAGAGGTCTTATTCTGGTTATCGACAGAGTCAGTCTTTCAAAAATAAGGGTACCAGACCTTTCTATCATTGTGATTTCTGTGGGATGGATGGTCACTTTGAGTCTCGTTGTCGTAAAAAGCCAGGCAATTCTACTTTTCCACAGAGGTGTGAGACTAGGGAGTTTCACTCTCAGCAGTCACGATTGGAGAATAGACCTATGGCTGCAGCTGTCGATCATGAGGCATTACGTTCAGACTGTGACCAACCTTTCACTCAGGAGCAAATTCAATAGCTTCTTTCCCTTATTCAACCAAATATCACAAATTCTTCTAATTCTAATCCATTAGTCAACATGGCAGGTAAACTTTCTAGTTTTTCTCAATTTCATATTCCTTGGATTGTGGATTCCGGTTGTACAAGCCATATTACTAGTAAGTTACATTCTTTGCATGACATACGTCCTTATCATGGACTTCCAGTAAAGTTACCTAATGGAACTCATGTACCCGTTGCTCATTCTGGTTCTCTTAGTTTCAACTCTTCCTTACATTTAGACCAAGTTATTCATGTCCCTTCATTTAAATTTAACCTTTTATCAGTTAGCAAAATAACAAAAGCTTTAAATTGTTCTGTTTTATTTTTGCCTAATTGTTGCATTTTCCAGGACCTGTTAACGAAGAAGGTGATTGGTTTGGCGAAGGAGCATGATGGTCTTTACTACCTAGACACCACCAACAACAATTCACCAAATATTTCTCTTTCTGCAGCTACTTCACCCTTAGACGTTTGGCATTGCAGGCTTGGGCATCCTGGTTGCAGTACTTATTCTCAATTTTCCAATTTAGATAAGAAGATTACCTTTTTCAATAATTGTCCTTGTAATGTCTGCCCTTTAGCTAAACAAAGTCGAATAAGTTTTCCAAATAGTTCTATCTCTACATCTCATTGTTTTGATTTAATTCATATGGATATTTGGGGACCTTATTCTACTGCATCCATCACAGGGGCTCATTATTTCTTAACAATTGTGGATGACTTTTCTCGCAATACTTGGGTTTTCTTAATGCAACATAAATCTCAAACATTCAGCATATTGCAAAATTTCTTCTTCATGGTTAAAACACAATTTATTGCCACCAT